TCGCGGCCTCGTCCTCTCATCCTCTGCCCTGCGGAGGGCACGCTGGCTCCGAGCCTGCGGCCGGGACGGGTTGTCGTTCCGAGTGCTGGACCCAGCTCGCCGCTGCGGCGCCCGCGCCTGCGGCACTGGAGAAGTAGGGCTTTCTCGGCGCGCCCTACAGGCCGAGAGGGATCTGGAACCTTTCAACCGACCGCTCCCTGGAGATCGCTGAGAACCGCTCTCGGTGCAGAGCTCCGAGGGTGCTCAGTGGTTAGGAGCATGGCTTCTGATGTCAGCTCACTTGTGTTGGGGTCCCAAGTCTTCTGCTTTGCTGTGTGACTGTAAGCAATTGCTTCACTTCTCTGTGGTTCGATTTTTGTTCGATTTTTTGCAGTTGTCCAAAGTGTCCCCAAACTTCTGAGCAGTCTTTGTTACATCCTGGCGTTCACAGAGTGGCAACTTTGAGCCAAGTACACTACACGCTCGCTGAGGCGGGTGCACCCCGTTTTAGAGCATTGGGGCAGTCAGAGGGTAAGCAGCACCTGCTGAGTGGAGCTGGAGTGTCCCCACCCCAGCTCCACTGTTTGTCCAGGGGGGATAGGCAGAGGACAGTGGGGGTCAGGGGTGGAGGGAGCTCAGACCAAAGAAGGTACTTCCAGATCTGCCCTTCCCTTTGCAAAGAAGGGGTACCTGCTGTGCCTCTTCCATTGGGGACCTTATAACCAACTCAATCCTACACCCCTGGCCTCAAGACCTCCAGCCCTGGACCACAGGACTGAGCAACTACTCTCCAAACGGAGGGCAATGCTCCCCTGACATTCATTCGTTCGTTCATTCATTCATTCATTTATTGACTCATTCACTATGTAGTTTTTTTTGCTTTTTGGGTTTTTTTTGTAAACTCAACAGATGTTTACTGAGCGGTGCTGTGCCAAGCACTGGACTTCTGGCCTGAGAGACAGTAGCCATGGGCTCTAATTCTAGTAGGAAGACAGACACTCAACCAAGTAAATCAACAAATGTGGAAGATAAAGTCAGGTCAGAATAGATGCTGTGGATGAAATAAACCGGCAGATGTGACAGAGCAGTAGCTAGGGTAGTGCAGAAAGGCCTCCCAGAGGACGTGACACCAGGCACTCTGCGTTAACGAAGAAAGCCTTCTTCACCAGGTCTCCTTCCCTGGCTGTGTGAGAGCCCAGGGAGCCACCGAAGGAAGAAACTGCTTCCAGGATGGCTGAGTGGGAGATTCAGAAAGGAGGGAGAAGGGGGCAGCCAGGGAGGTGCCTGCCAGGGGCTGATCCCCACTGTTCCTGGTTCACAGTGGAGTGATCGGAAGTGACAGGAAGGGCCAGGTGTGTTAAGGGCAGAGGAGGCAGATTAGAGACAAACAATAAACCAAGGGGAGCCTTAGCTTCAGGAGAAATAACACGCAGAGGCCAGGGCCAGAACCAGCCTTCAGTGCCCTCGAAGTTGCCAGATGGCTGCAAGGGTGCCCTGTGCCCTCGAGAAGGAACTGAGTGGGAGAGGCTCCACTTTCAGCTATGGATGGATGGGTGGGTGGATGGGCCAGCCGATGGGCGCACAAATGATTGAAGGCACACAGAAATAATCAGCTACATTTATTAGTGTTCTCAGAAAGATGTGTTTGAAGGAATTTGAGGCAGTCAGTGTCCATTTTCATGAGACAAAAGACTTGCCCAGAATGTGCTCACCCCACAGGTACTGCGTCACTGGCAGGCACATGCTCACTCTTTCTGAGTCCAACTCTAAGTACAGTGTAGAAAAGCAGAAGACTCTGGTGCAGGTTCCCAGGACACAGGACCGAGGTGTTCCAGGACGGATTCTGACTGAGGACATCAAATGCTGCTCCCCGATGCTCTGGGTTTGAAATCCCCGATGCTCTGGGTTTGAAATCCCCGGGGTGGCTGGGAAAAGGGTGAATAATGAGGCAGGAATTAAACAGGTAATAACAGGAAGCATGGGGTGGGTAGGTGGTCAGAGGCTGTGCTCAAAGAAACTTCCTGGCAAGAGGCAGTTTTTGCATTGAGGGCATGCAGCACAGAGGTTACTGAGAATATTGCCTTTAAGTGCAATTATACCTGTCTTGGGGTCATTCCTCCCCCAACCTCACCCCATGTGTTTCACTTCTCATGGTCTTCCCCTGTGTCTGAAATTGGGGCTGGGGGCAGTGAAGGGGTTGCTGCCCCCATCTGGGTGCTTGCAGAAAGCTTCTGGGCACATGGGATGGGAGTAGCCTGTTCGCTTGGAACTTGGCAAAGATGCATCTCTAAGCCCCCAGACCACACGGCATTTTCATTCATTCATTCGACACACATTTTATGAGTGCCCACGATGTGGCAAGCCCTGCCCTGGTCTGAGAGAACACACTGTTGTCACGCAGCCTCGGAGAGGCCAGTGCACTCTTTATGTCGTTATTCGATTCATGAAGAGCGAGAGGGAGAACAACGGGTCCTTGGCTAGAGGACACCAAAGACTTTGGGAACTGGTGCCTTGCTGGGCAGTGGAAGGGACCCAGGGTCCAAGAGACCCGATTTTAATATTTAATTCCACAGATATTTATGGGGTGTCAGGCACAGCAGAGACTGCCCTGGGGGACTTCCAGCTAGTGAGATCGAGATGAACACCCACAACCAGACAACCAAGAAGTCCAGGACACAGATGTCACAAGTGGAGGCACCAAAGCGAACTGGGACAGATGGGAAGACTTTGGAGGAAAAGCCTCTAGGCTGAACCCCCAATCATTGGTGGAACAAAGAACTGCAGTGAGATTGGTGTGTCCAGAGCTGGGCAGGACCAAGGACCTGAAACTGACAGGAGCCAGCTGGGACGATGGCAGGCTCTGCTCACCTACTTTGGGCTAGTGAAGCTTGGAAAATTAATTGGCTTCTTTGAGTATCAGTTTACCCTTCTGCAAAATGGGCTTAACAAGGCAAGCATCTCCAGATTGTTGGGGGTGGCTGGGAGGATGACCTGTGAATGGCTTCTGCACAATAGGTGCTCAGTAAATACTAGGTCTTCGGGCAGATCAGGAAGCCAGGGGTCGATGGGCTGTGGGGGGGGGGGTTCAGGATTGGGCACCCCTGGGCATGGTTTGCAGAATCTTTATTAACAAGCACATCAAGGTAAGCCGCAATGGAAACCAGATGTGGGATCTCGCAGTCAGACTGAGGCAGAGCGAGGAGCAGAGATACCAAGGCAGCCAGCCTGGTTGGGGTAAGGACTAGTCAGGATGAAGTTGGGGTGAAGCACAACTGTTCAGATACTTTTTCTTTGAGAGACCTTCAGTGCAGAAGATTGGCCTCTGACCCTCCTTCCTGGGTTCAGGGCACCCAGGCCCTCATTTTACTTCACCCCCTTCACCTCTCACCCCACTCCCAGCCTCTCGAGGTATATAACTCCTCCATCCATGGATTTCCCCTGCATTTTATCCAGGGCTTCCCTAACTGGTCTCCTTGGAACCGAGTCATTCCGCAGTCGGATACCCAGAGGCCCGTTTGCTCTGTTTGCGTTTTCCCTGTGGAAATGTCCTCCCGGGTCTCTGAAGAGCCGAGCTTCAGCGTGGGTTCCAAGGCGAGCGCTGCTACTTTTGAGCTGTGTGACCTGGTCCTGGTGGCCGCACCTCTCAGAGTCTTGATTTGCTCATCGAAAAACTGGGGACCCCAATCTCCACCACTTATTGTTGCTGTGAGGTATAGTTGATAATTAGCAGTCAGGAAGGGGCTCAATGCGCCCTAAAAGTTCTTTTCCCTTGCGGTGGCAGGTCCCGGGACCCTGAGGCATGAGTCGGTAAAGGAAACCACAACCCAACAAATCCGAGATTACAGACCGCCTCACCCCTACCCCGAGCGGTGAGCAGGTGACGGCAGGGCGATGGGGCGATGCCTGCGGGTCTCCGAACTCCACACTCTCCACCCGGCCAGCCAGAAAATCCCCTGGAAGGGGCGCAGACCTGAAGTGCGCGCGGCTCTCTGTGGGGGCGAGGAGGGAAGATGAGGGGAGGAGACAGCGCTCTAAAGCTTCTGAAACCTGGCCCGGCTGGGGGTTTCTCCCGTGGTTGAGTGAACACAGGCCTCTCTGCACCCCTACCCAGAGCCCTTACAGAGGAGGGAAATAGTTAATCAGACGTGAAAGTGGCCACGCACAGGACGCCTGCGGCGTGTGTGTGTTAATTTCATGGAGGACTGGAGAATGGGGGGAGAGGCTGGAAACAGAGGAAAAGGCACTCGTGGGGAGACCCGCAGCTGCGCCTCCAAATTCGCGCAGAAGTGTGCAAACGACTCGCCTGCACTCGGAGGCTAGCGGCCCAATCTGACTCCCAACGTCAAAACTTGTTAGTTTTTTTTTGGTTTGTTTGGTTTCTTCTGTTTTGTTTTGTTTTTTTGTTTTTTTATCTGTAACTAAAGTTTTGCAGGCTCCCCTCCCCTAGGCCAAAGCGGGGACCAGATAATTTTCAGCCTAGCCTCGGGAGCCCTAAGGGTCTTGACACCTCCCCGGTCCCGCCCAGAGTCGGAAAAGCCTTCGGGCGCCTCAGGGTAGAATCCCTAAAATTCTACCGCGAGAGAGGAGAGAAAAGGCCGGAGCAGTAGAGGAGGGAGGAGGGGGGTGAGAAGGAGGGGAGAAGAAAGGAGAGATTCTAGGGGGAAATTCACTCTCTCTCTTTCTCTCTATTCCTCCCGCCCCCCTCACCCCTTCAAAAACCTTAAGAGAGTTTGGGAGATCTGGTCAACTTTCCGAAACATCTGAATCTTTTTACAGCCCTCCGTTCTATCCCTGGGCCAGCTGTGGGGAGGGAGGAGGGAGAGGAGAGAAAGAGAGAGAGGGAGGAGGGAGGGCAGAGGGAGGGAGGGAGAGAGAGAGAGAGAGAGAGAAAGAGAGAGAGAGAGAGAGAGAGAGGACAGCAGTGGAGGGAGGCGGGAGAGGAGCGAGCAGGCCGGCGCGGAGCGCACAGCCACAGCCTCCTCGCTTCTCCAAACTCCCGGCCGCGGCGCGCGGTGGCGTCCTCGCGCTCTCGCTCGCGCCCCCGCCCGTCGCCCGCGCAAGCCAGGCATGAATGCTGAGACTTGCGTCTCCTACAGCGAGTCGCCGGCTGCTGCCATGGACGCCTACTACAGCCCGGTGTCGCAGAGCCGGGAAGGCTCGTCACCTTTTAGGGCATACCCCAGCGGCGATAAGTTCGGCACAACTTTCCTCTCCGCCGCCGCCAAAGGGCAGGGATTCGGGGACGCCAAGAGCCGGGCTCGCTACAGCGCGGGGCAACAGGACCTGGCGGAGCCCCTGGAGAGTGGCGCCGGGGCGCGGGGCTCTTTTAACAAGTTCCAACCCCAGCCACCGGCCCCGCAGCCGCCGCAGCCGCAGTCACAGCCGCAGCCGCAGCCGCCGGCTCAGCAACCGCATCTCTACTTGCAGCGAAGCGCCTGCAAGACGCCCCCGGACGGCAGCCTCAAACTCCAGGAAGGCCACAACGCGGCCTTGCAGGTCCCCTGCTACGGTGAGTGCACGTGCCGGTTCCCATGGGCTGGGACCCTGGGGCCCATGGCTTCGGCACCCTCGAAACCTGGTAGGCTTATGGGAGGCAGGAGTTGGGCCAAGGAGGTGCGGGGAACCGATCAGTGGGCACCTCTCGGATGGGAAATGGGGATCGACTGTCCCCAAGGGAGACCCGTCTTGCCCCTTCGTGTCTACCTCCGCCACAACCAAGGAGCGTTTGAACTGTTAAACTCTGCCTGGAGTTTGTTTCACCCCTTCTCTGCTGTTCCCCGACCACTCGCTTGGCGTTGAAGCGGAGGTTCGCACCGGCTCCAAGCGTGCGGCGGGAAACAGTTGCAGCACGGCGCTGGGGCGCCGGGCTCCCGGCTGCCAAGGCCTCGCTCCCCGCCGGCTCGGAGGCTCCTCCGGCGGCGCCACAGGTGGAAGCGCCGCAGGTGCCGGCCCGGCCGGGAGCGCAGTCTTCGGAGCGCGCCGGGGATGCCGTGGAAAAGGGGCACCACACGGACGCGGGTCCAGAGACGCCTGGGGTGGCAGAAGACCCGAGTCCCGTGGCCCCCGAACGCGGCTCGCCGCGGGGAAACGGGCTGGCCAGAGTCCCAGAGCCTTTCTCTCGGGGCGAGCCCGGGAGGCCAGTTGGCTTCAGAACAATGGTTTAGGGCCGACGCCGCAGGGAGGCAGGAAGCCGAAGGTCTTGAGGGGGCTCGGTGCTGGGGGAAGAGGGAAGTTTCTTCTTTCTGATTTGGGCCCATAGGAAACCCGAGGCCTAAATGACCTCCAGGCCCCCTTGAACGCAGGCCTGGGCCCCCAGAGCTCAGCGACCATAGTGGAGGAGAGAGCCTCTCTCAAGGGCAGCTTGAGGCCAAAGCAACTCAGTAGCCTAGGCCCTCTCTTCCACAGAATCGGACTCAGTGAGCCCCAAGCTGGGAGCGAGGGAAATGGAGAAGGCAGGGGAGAATCTTCTCTGGACTAGGAACCCTGGGTACAGTCTCCCCCTGAGGCCTTGAGGCAGGGCCCTGGAGATGAGCTGGTGCTGACAGGGCAATGGCTTCGGCTGAGCTGATCCACACCAGATGCAGAGGCACCAGGCTTGGGGACAGAAGTGGGACATAGTGGAGGTCTTGGCAACTGGAATAACCTTAGGAAAACAGCCCATGGCAAGCACTTTCTTACATTCAAACTAGCTCCCCCTTAGGCTCAGAATTAGTTCAATAGGTGGTTGTTGACACGCACAAATATTCACAGCCATAGGCCTGTCTACACTTGCATTCTACACACACACACACACACACACACACACAACCTCTTCCTCATGAGCCAACGTGGGCACACATCAAGTACACTCACTCATGTGGCCTAGGATATAGTCACACACTCCCAAACCCGTAGAACAGGACTGAGAGTAGATTTAGAAAGACCCAGTGGCCTTTCCCCACTTCCTCCACCTTCCTGTTGGAATGAAACCGGGCGCTCAGATCACAGACACAGCTCCACACAGGTGCTCCTTCCTCGCTGGGGCAGCCCATGTTTTCAGCCCTGTCTGTATGCGCTGGCCTGCCTCCTGGCCTCACTCAGGCCCCTCCTCATCCATGTCAGTTGGGACTATTAAATGAGAGCAAATAACAAACTGGGGGACCCATGGAGGTGCAGTGTGCAAAGCCAGGAGACTCAGTTTTCTCCTCCACTACACCGGATTATCATGTTTTAAAGAAATTCACCAGTGAGGCTTCTGAGAAGGCTGAGACATTGGGAAGGAGAGATCCAAAGCTGCTTCCACCTTCTTGTTTGAAAGATGCCTTCAGGTCCAGAGGGGAAGGAGTAAGGGCTTTCCCCCTCTGGGCACCCTCTCTGAGCCCTACTGGGCCCTCACGTGCCAGCTTGGCCCTTGCTCTACTTGCATTAGTCTTTGGGGCTACCTACAGTGTGCCTGAGAGCAAGTAACTCCACACCCCGGTACTCATCTGCATCATGGAGAGATCACAGCAAGGCTTCAGTGGGTGGTAAATGTCCTCCCAAGGAGAGAGCAGGAGTCTAGCCTACCCTCTTCCACATTTCTATCATCAGCCTCTGTGCTGTTGGGAACCTCTGAGCACCTAATTCTGAGGACAGGACAGGCGCCTACCCCTGCTGTGGGCAAAGCCATAAGCTGCAGGTTGGTACAAAAGGCAGCCTGGAATCACTGACTGGACCCCACTCCCTGGCTGCCGGAGATGGAGGCACTACTCGGCAAAGACACAAACAATCAACAACTCTCTTTATTCTTCTTCTTCTTCTTCTCAGCAGCAGAGTCTCCCTGTCTAGGAGGAGATTTCTGGTCCTTGTACAAAAGAGATTAGGCACTCAGGTACAAGATCAGGCACCCCAGGCACCAAGAGGGGAGGCTCTGCCCTTTATGGGGGCCGCTGGGAGAAGAGCCTCTGGAGATGAATTTTTAGACTGCTGGCTCGGAGGGAAACTGAGGCATGTGTTGACAGCTGTTCTCTTCCACACTTGTCAGAGTGTGTATTCAAAAGGGAAGAAATGAGGTTCAAGGAAAAAGCCTTGGGGGGTTCCCAGGAGCTTGGAGAAATTGGGGGCAGACAGGGCTTGGCGCTGGGCTGGGCCGGGCCTTGGCTGACCTGACCCCAGGTAGCTTCGACTTCGAAACCTCCTTCCTAGCTCTGTCGGTCCGGCGGAAGCCAGTTCCTCATCTGCGATCCACGAAACCACTCGGAGCTGGAGGCGAGGCTCCGAAGTTTCCTCTGGGACCTCAGACCCTGGAGCCACTACCCACGTTCAAGGGGCCCCGGCCAGTGAGGTGTGGGCCCCGGGTGGGGGTGCGCCAGGGCCGCGCCAGGGAGCGCGTGGCCGGGAAGCCTTCTTGGTCTCAGGCAGCCGGATTTTCTCTGCGTGGCCAGAAGTGGAGGTGAGAGATGCTCCCAGGCTTCAGTGGTCTCTGCCCCACGGGGCCTCCGTTTCCCATCGGTACTCAAAGGGCGACGAGCAAGATGAGTAGGCAGATCCCTCTGGCGCAGACACTTTCTTCTCGATTTTACGAAAGAGCCCCACGGGGGTCGCTCCGGCTGCGGTACCGACCTCGCCGGGCTCTGGGTCCGCACTTTGGCTTTCCTAAGCCCCTGCCTATCTTCGGCCGTTTTGACCGCGTGGCCCCAGGAGACACGCCAGGTTGGACGCCCGACACTTCTCAGCAGCACGAAGAGCTTCCTCGCAGCCGGGGTGGGGGCTCAGGCCCCTCGCCCCCAAACCCAGGTCCAACTCCCCGAGCCGCCCCAGGCGCTCCGGGTTCGGCCTTGCGCCCCGGCACGCGTGGTGGAGCAGCCTCGGTTCCTCTGTCTTTCGCTTTCGATTCGGTGCACGCAGGTTTTCGTTGCGAGCGGATTGCTACCTTCCTATCGACCGACCCCAACGCAGCGCTCTCTGCGCGCGGTCTGGGGAGACGCGGACCAGGCTGAAGACCCCTGGGGCGCCGCTGAGGGCCCGTCCTGATTTGTCGAATTAGACGCAGTGTTTGAATGCTGGGGATATTTATTTCCCTGCACAGTTACAATCACACACCACAGAGGGTGTCAGCTCCGTCCCAGTCTGGTCGTATTCGAAGTTAGTCAACCAACGTGGGCTTTTTAATGGGACCCCCCACAAAAAGACAGCCAGAAACCGACATGCAGGCAGAAGCAGTAAGAGCTCATCGGAGATTGTGGGGTAATCGAAAGGAAACTCGAGCCCGGGAGCTGTGACATCGCCGACCCTCGTCAATTTTGGAGGAGAGGGATCAGAAGGAAGACGCTTTTAATTTTTCACTTTAACAATTTCTGTAGCCGCCAGCATGCGCCAACAATCCCGCCTGAACACATACATTCTTAAATAGAAAAACAGAAGACCTGGATCAAACCGATAGTATTATTTTAAATCCATCGATTTGAACAAAGTTTTCTTTCTTGTAAATAATTTATATACAGTCATGTCCACTAGCCGAGTGGAAAGGTCGAAGAATTGTCGCGTGTGTGTACAGTGACAGAACTACCACCTGGACCCAGGCACCCCTTTATGTGCTGTGTAAGTTCACGAACAGTTTTGGGGGAAGTTTTCTGTAATTTATTCTAAGAAAATAGCAGAAGAGACCCCGGAGAAATGGGGACCACGCCTTGTGCCGGACCGTGGTGTTTTCTTGAGTAGGGTGACTGTGCGCCCCAGCCTTGCGCGGTTCCGACTCGGAAAGCGAGTTACTACCGGCTGCGGCAGGACCCTCGCCGCCGCCGTGCCGCCGCCAGACGAGCCCCGAGTCGCCGCAGCCCTGAGCCTCGCGCTGCAATAACGGAGCCGTGGTAGGAAAACAAGTTAAAATACCATACATAAAATTTAGCTTAAGTCCTGGAGGACTTTCGTTTTGGAAAGGGTCTGGGAGCACTTTTCCGGGGACGTACCTTTCCATTGGCCTCAGCCCGTTTCTCTCTTCCCGCAGCAATGCGCACCGCTGGCGTTTAGAGTTGCAAATTGAAATAGAAATGGAAATACTGCAGTCTTTGCAGATTCGGGGGTGAGGGAAGGTTGGAGTCCCACGTATTTGTCTGGGGTTCAGGCTTCTCTGCTGACCCCTGGACCAGGGTGCCCGAAACAGCCAGCGGGGAGAGAAGGGAGAAACTCCCAGGAGCGCCCACAGCGCCTGGGCACGAGATGGGGAGCTGGGCACGAGATGGGGAGCTGGTGGGCCACGCCTGAACTGTGCGCCTTTCCGGGAGAAGAGGGGAGCTGTGGGGGGCACACTCTGAGAGAGTGCCTGGGAGATTATTCCCTCCACTAGGAGCTTCAGCGTCTTCAGCTCCCATGACCCCCAAGGACCTTGGCCCCGGCACTGTTTGGGGACAGTGAGATCCCAGTCTGTGTCTGGACCCGCCTGCTTGGCGTCACCTTCCTAAGTGCTCCCGCAGCTTTGGGGTTCCCCAGGAATCGCTAAGGTGACGGGAGTCATCAGATTAGGAAACCAAGACAGTGAGGCCCTGGCTACAT